CCAAACTCAAACCTCTTACTTAGACCAGAGTCCCCATGTCACACGGTCCTTTTCCCGTGCCACATGCATGTCTGCATGCTGTTAAATGCCTGCTAAATGAATGTGTAAGGCATGACCATCGGAAACACTTTCTATCATTCAAGTAAGGTATTTAGAAGAATTAGCACTAGACTTGTACTCTGACATTTCATAGGCTCCATCCAGCCTAGGATGTCCTAGTAGCCTCCAAAGCAGCAATTCTCAAAATACATTCTGTACTGCCAAATCAGCAGAAAATGCTTCTGGGGGGAACTGAGGGAATTCCACTCTAACCCTTCTGAATCTGAGACTGGAACAAGACTCAGAAACCTGTTTTTACAGCACTGCTGAGTAGTAACAATGCATATACGGGAAGCCTGATGAGCCAGCCAAGTGTGCAGGCCCCCATCTTGCTACAGAGATTATTCTTGTCCTTTCCCAAGGATGACTGTATGTCCATCTTATCTCCAAATACTTAATTATAGGTAAGATTATTCTGAAAACAAAAATACTCTAGAAACCACTCAAATACAAAACAATTGCTTCAACTTTATGCATATGTGGCTGTTAGCTGTAAATGTCTTTACTATTCATACTTAAGTCATTAACTTTCACATTTAGCATAATTTGCAAGGCTTTCTCCTTCCCAAATAATCAGTCCATATATTCTTTACAATAGCTCTATGACCAGGCCTACTTATCCAAATTACTCACCTTTCACAAAATGTATGCGAGAAATGATGATTTACAAAATTACCTGTATATACAGCTTTTGTTCCCTCACACTCACGACGAGCTCTCTTCCCATGCTTATGTGCTTTTTCCCGGAACCTCACTGTTATGGCTGTGTTTGCACTCCCAGCACTGTGGCTCAGCTCAGAAAAAGACTTGGTTTCCACAAGGTTTCCAAACTTCTTGTTGAGAAAATGGTGCACAGCTTTCCTGTGGTCTTTGTTTGTATCGGGTTTAAAGGTAAACTTGGAATTGTCTTTCTTTGCATCCAAATATTTGAAAAAACCAAGCGCTTCTTCTTCAGATACCAAATGGCAGAGTTCTTTATACTCAGGATTTGGTTTTACAATGACTTCGCTGCTTTTTCCTACAGTTATCAAAAAAGGAAATTTCTGCCTAACAGCACTGTGTAAAACAGCCCTTTGGCTTTTGTCAAGGATCCTACCTAGAGAGAGTTCCAGAGATGGTTCAATTAACTCGGATTTTGAATTCCACATCCCTTTGATGTCACAGGCAAACTGCTCCAGCAATGTATGAGTTTTTCCATCTAGAAGTGAACTTAGTAAGTCAATGTTTTCTTTTTCACATTTAGAAGTCACACCACTGACACTGTCTTCTTTGTCTGAGCCAGATCGATGACTCTCATCACCATCAGAGTACCCAGTTGAATTAGCGGCTTCTTCATCACCTTCATGGTCTAAGGGTACATCTTGAATATTTAGCTTTGGCTTTTTGACCAAATGACTTGGCTCGGATTGTGTTTTACTGATTTCATAAACAGATTCATTAGTGGCCTTGCTGACCAGTTGTCCCTGTTCATCAATCTCAGTGACAACAAAGTCACTTGGGAAGGTTTTTATAGTGCCCTGAAATCCAACATGATCATTAATGAAACATAAGGAACTAAACCTGATTCCACTATCCGCGTCCTCGTCCATTCTAAACAGTGCCTACAAAAGAGACAAAACAGTCAGCTACCAGAAACACAGGTAAGAATGAAATTCGTTTGCAAGATTCATTCAGCTGTCTTCCTCTTAATTCTGTGTTCCCTAAAAGGCACTAATAACTTCTTTAAGGAAGTATCCTACTATCATATAGCAAGCAGAGTTAACAGGCCAACTATCTGTAGCCAAAGTAGTGGTTTGTATCTTGATTTCCCATTCAATCCACGCTTCTATTATGCAGAATTAAAATGGCTCAATTTTGAGCTGGAGAAATGGCTCAGCAGTCAATCAAACTTGTTCTTCCAGAGGACTCCAGTTCAGTTCTCAGCACCCACCTAGCAGCTCACAACCATCCCTAACTCCAGTGACAGGGGATCTGCTGCTCTTTTCTGACCTCTGCTGCACCAGGCACACCTGGGGTTCACATGTGTATATACACACAAACACACATAACAAAATTTTAAAAAATGTACTTAAAAGGTTTAACTTTCAAAAAAAAACATAAAGTGGGTCAATTTCAAGTTCATCTGAAAAGAAAGAATAGGTCTCAAGATCTGGTTCTAATCCCAGAGACACTGTGGTGATATTTTTATACATTGCAAGTTAGATCATAAGGAAGAAAAGTCTACAGTAAATAGGTGTGAGAAGTTCTCTGTACACTTAAAGGTAGGCTTAAGTCAGTCCTGGTCCTTCAGCTTTCTCTAAATTCCCTACAGGAAAGATTCAGAATTCTCAAGCTGATGAGAGGAAATTTGTACCCAGTCACTGGCACCAGAGTAAAGAAATCCTTATAGAGTTTTCTTGGAGCGGGACACAAGAGCAATTCTACAAGGAACCCCGCAGTCCCCATACCACTATCACATACACATGGAGCGGTGGGAAGCAGCTTCACTACTGGCTCTTGTATTTGTCATCTTTGTCTAAACTACTTAACCCCCGCCCCTCTCGGTTCTTTCCATTGGGCCGTGTACAAATCACAGTGAATTCTCTGTTCTCATTTTCACATTTACTTTTCTTAATTTTTAAATTCCCTGCAGTCCCCTCCATTCCATGCCCCAATTGAATCCTACAGATTTCTCTTCTTCCTTCCCTCTGGGGGGCACATTTTTTTCTTTCAACCTACATATCTTAGAATCTGAAGGTTAGAAACATGACCTATTTTTTTTTCTTTCCAAACAGGTTCTTTTCCGTTCTGCCTTGGTTCCTTTGCAGACTGTGTCCCAGCCTTTACCATGTCCCCACATCCTCCCTGATAACTCCTCCATTGAGACTTCCATCCTCTTGCACAGAACCTCTGAGTCACCCATGTGGATCATGTTTCTAGCTCCATCCCATACTCCCTCTCTTCCTCAGCCACCACCCCACTCCATCCCAGCCACGGCCCCACTCCATCCCAGCCATCTACTCTTATGGTCAGTCTTTTTTCCCATCACCAAAAAACATCACCACCTATAGAAATCTGGTTCCCAAAGGGAGTGGCACTTTAGGAGGTGTGGCCTTGTTGGAGGAAGTGGGGCGGACTTTGAGGTCTCTTTTGCTCAAGCCTCCCTCAGTCTGACTGTTGGTTGACTTCCTTTTGCCTGTAAGATGCAGGGCGCTGCTCCAGCACCACATCTGCCTGCCTGCCACCATGCCATGATGATAATGGACTCAAACGTCTGAACTGTAAGTGAGGACCCTCAACTGTTTTCCTTGTAAGTTGCCATTGTCATAGTGTTTTTTTTTTCACATCAATAAAAAGACCTAAGACTCTGATCAAACCTATTTTGCCATTCTTCAACAGCTCCAACTCCCAAATTCTTAGGCATTATGGCAGCCTCTTTACTCTTTCTGTTCAGTCAACTTTTATCTACTATGTGTACCACCAAAAATACTGTATTAAAAGGTAACCCACACCGCAAGGGTTTAAAACCCTCTTATTACATTTACAACAAAGCCTAAACTATCTAGCCTAAGATTTTGTATCCTGTCTGTTCTGCAGTATGATGTACCTGCACCCACGGTTAAACTGGCTGTCCTCACTACCTTTGTAGTAACTTCCTGCTCAATCTTTTAGGATTCACTTTCTCAGAGGTTTTCACTGATCTAATAACCTGATCTGTGGGAACCTGAATGGCATTTTCTTTCACAAAAACCTGATGTAATTTTCTATATGGAAAATGTTTTATTGTTTACTGTTCACCTTCCTCAGTTTAGTGTCAATTCCACGTGAGCAGGAATTGTACCTTGCTCACTACTGATTAGCCTACATTTAGGACGCCACCAAGCACATAATAGATGACCACTGCAAGCCTGCAATTAATACTGGTTGTTGGACAAAAACGACCAGAACACAGTAAGCTGTAATGGTGATGAGGAAGAAGGAAGAGTTAACTTTTGTTTGTGACCACCAGGAATGGTATGATAAATTGCTATTTAAGTCTTTGAAAATAGTCATGCAAGTACAAACAAAACCGGCACTAAGCGGGAGGGGAGAAGCCCTGACCCAGCAGTAGGAAGAGGGAGTAGTAGGGTGGCAGTTTTGGAGAAGACAGCTGAAGTCATGCTATGAAAGACACAGAACGCTCTGTCAAAGGTTCGAATCTGCTTTGTGGGGTGTTTCTAAAATACTCAAGGAATTCTGAAGTCAGGGGTCCACAGGCCTCAGGAACCCTAGGGATTCTAGGAAAGGCAAGATCATAGGAAGGCTTTCTAGGCTAGACATAGGGACAGCCGGGCGACGAAGGCATTCCAGCAGCTCAAGTGGTGGAATGCAAAGCTGAGCGGGTTAGGCTGGCAGGAGCCCCTCCGCTGCTCCTCAGGGCAAGCCGAGGCTGAGGAGGAACCCAGCCCTGGAGAAGGGCTGGGGGCTGGCTCCCTGAGACACACACACACTCACACGCCACCCTGCTCCCTCAGTTTCCGCCACGCCTTCCTCCTCCCCCACTCCAAGCTTCGCGCCACCCCTATCCATGTCGCCCTTCTCGGGGCCGCCAGCCTGGAATCTTCCACGTCCGCCACTCTTAGACCCACGCGTGACCCAGCACACCACTAGACTAACCGGCTCTACCTCGCTTCCGAGAGAAAGCGGGCCTCCCTGGAGACACAGTGCGCATTCCCGGAAGCCTTCGCCTGCCCAGCCTCCTACGGGGACATTTAAAGGGACAGGCTCCCATTTGTGTCGTTCCTCCCCTTGATAGAGAGCGGCCCGTAGGCACCTAGAGCAATAGAGGGCGGGGAGGGGAGGCGTGGCCTTCCGGGTTAGCCCCGCCCCTAAGCTCTCATCCTCCGGGGCTGCTCGCGCTGCAGTCCCGCTCGGATCTGGTGCCCTGGGAAGTCTTGTCACCCTGTCGCAGACCGTCTGAAGTCTCATCGTGGCCCCGCGCGTCCTCCCGTCCCGAGTCCTCGCGGGACCGTGGCGGGGCGCCGGTCCCCCTGTGCAGGAAGCGAGGGACGTCAGAGAGGAAGTAGGTTGTGGGACCGGGCTAGGAAGACTTATCTCAGGCCACGACCTCGTTGCCATCCTCTATCCGAGCCCGGTTCGCGACCGGCTCGCCTCACCCCAGAACCGGGAAGTGGGCGCACCTCCGCGTAGGGGGCCCCGCAGCCTCTGCGCCGCGCGGGTCCGCTGGTGTCTTGCTTGCTCGCTCGCAGTGGGGAGTATAGGAAACTGTGTGTCACAGCCCATCAACAGGTGGAGGAAGGGGGTCAGCGCAGCACTGCTTGGAAGCCAGAGAAGAGAGAAAAAGCAAAGCCTAAGAGAGCGAGAAAGCTCCATTCGCTTTCGGAATGGGCACAGTGCCCCCCCCTAAAAAAAAACAAGATTTTTAAAAAGAATACGATTTTTCCGTTCCTGGGAGTAATCCTTCAAGATATATGTCAAAGAGCTCAGGTTTCTTTTATTCTCCTATTTTCATGCTAAACTTTTTTTTTTTTTTTTTTTTTTTTTTTTGCTAACCTACATGCTCCGGACTGATCTGATTTCCCAGACCAAACTTGCGCCTTACACTCTTGTTTCTTGTTTCTGACCCAAGCAGAAAATCCTGGTGCAGTCTTCGCACTCTCTATAACATCAGACTTTTGTGGTTTGCCCTGCTTAATAATACATCTAGCACCGGGATACTAGCGCCTCTTCGAACCTTCCACGTGAATTTTTAGTACACTCTTCTAATCGCCTCTTGCTGTCTCTTTGCCCTAACTCTGTGCACCCTATTCTATGAAACCTCCGCTTTTGCCCTGATAGAACTATCTGCACTCCTCGGAATTTCCACTGTCTCTTCTCTCAACTCAGAAGATAATCAAGTCGTTTCAAAGGTTTAAGGCCCCGGAAGTCCAGTCCCTCATTTCTGATCTCACCTGCCCCTTGCGCTTGTCTGTGGAAGCTGACACCCGGGACAGAAGGCTAACTGAGGCAGATGCTAGCCACCAGGTCCTCCCAGCATCCCTCAGTCCCTACATCTAGTACCTGGCATACCCTGCCCCCTTACCCTGAACTCTGGGTACTGGGTACCAGCACAACCACTGGGCTTCCCACCCCCAGCCCCTCTGGTCCTTGTATAACAGCCACGTGATCTATGCCAGTCTCTTAGCCCAGGCCACCACTTTTGGTAGGCAGCTCCTTTCTTGCTCTCTGTCCCCTCCTCACATGACCAGGCTCAATTTGACCATGTTCACTGTGGACTCTCCCAGATGTCTCTGCTCTGCCTCTGGCTGTGCTCTCCCTCACATCTACAGTAAACCCCTTAGGAACAGTCATGCCCTCCCTTGTAATTCTTTTCTTCATTGACAAGAACCTCCAACTTCTGTGCCTACTACTCATTTCCCCCAGAAAGTTTCCCAGCAGGCTTCCCACTGATGAGTGTTCTCATTCCTGTGTCTTTCATCATGGTCTCTTGAGGCCCAGAGTGACTAGCCCCTTTTAAGATGCAGCCCATTGTCTCTCCGTCTGCCACTGCCTCATTTACTTCTCTGCTACTGTGACAAAGCACCATGGCCAAGGCAAGGTTGCTTAGGGTTCTAGAGGGACAAGAGCCTAGCCAAGCACAGTGGGAGAGTGGCAATGGCAGCATTTTTTCTGGCAGACAAAACAAGTGAGATGGAGCAGAGTTCACCTCTTGACCCACAGGCAGGAAGCAGAGCTGACTGGGAACCGGCCCAAGTCTTGAAACCTCAAAGCCCATTTCCAGTAACACTTCCTTATTCTCCCAAACAGCCACCAATTGGGAACCAAGTATAGGAGGGCCTTCTCATTCAAACCACCATAGACACCGTTTAGCATAGGTAAAATGCATTCTTAGCTTGCTACCTTCTTCCTCCAGTAGAATAAGACTCCTGTGTGTTCTTGCCTCCTTTTTCTCTCTGTCTTTCTGGATTAATGCCAATATCAATGACAAATAGGTCACTTTTTTGGTGAACGGATGACAGTATATTCAAAGCATTTTAAGTTGCCACTGAAGTAAATCTGGATAAGAAACATGGATGTTGCCCATGGCATCTAAAAGGTCTTTTTGCAGATGTATCGGGGACAAACCCTGTTGTAGGATGAGAGTCATTGGGACAGCTTATGTGGATCGTTTTTCATTTGGGCATAGGGGAATGATCAGTAAGTAGAGAATTGAAAAGACGAGGCAACAGAGGCAGGCAGATCTCCCTGAGTTCGAGGCCAGCCTGGTCTACAGAGCAAGTTCTAGCACAGCCTCCAAAACAATACAGAGAAACCCTGTCTCGAAAAAAAAAAATGGGGCAAAAACTTGAGTATGAGGATAATAAGGAGGAAAGGAGTGATGGAGGGGAGGAGCCAGAGTGGGAGGGAACAGAATGCCTTCACATAGGAGGAGACTTGCAGTTGGTTTTTTGTCTGGATTCAGTGTCTTTGGGTCCCATCACAAACCAGTTAGTATTTGCTTGTGCCTAAGCAGCTTTGCTCATAGGGGAGGGCACAAATCCTGTCCTTAGCTGTCGGATCTAGACTTTTTAAATGTTGAAGTACTACAGTAGCTAAGGAATTGAGCTGGTCCGGAAGGATGTTAAGCTGAACTGAAAATGCTATAAGTTTCTCTGGTATCTGGTGAGACAGAGAGGTTAATTGATGAAAAAAGAAAAAAGCTTCAGTCCAGCTGTTTTAGTTCTAAGTCCTGGAAACAATGTCCAGAGTGTCAAAAAGAGGAATAAGATGGTCTATTAGTTCCCCCTTCGGAGGTCACCCAAACTGCTTTGGGGGGGAGGGGATTGGGGGCACTGATTTCAACGGCTTCAAGTTGACACACACCCAGTGACCCTTTTCATTTAGGTAGGTCCTACCTCCTAAAGTTACCACCAGTTCCCAATCCCATTAAGCTATAAATCCATCAATGGATGAATATATTGATAGATAATAGGAAAGTCTTCATGATCCAAACATCTACCAAATGAACCCCAACACAGAACTATATTTGGGACAAAGTCTTCAAAACAAGAACTTATGGGAGCTATTTCAAATCCAAACCATACTGTACAATACCAGTATCTAAAATGTATAAATTGCATTAATGACTTTGGTCCTTAACTTATGGATCTGGCAGTCTAATGACAGAGACAGGTGGTAAACAAGCAACTAATTATATGATTATAAATATATTGGTCAGGGGTGAATCATAATTAGGTATGGGAAAGTCAACTTATGTAGATATGATAAACAATGAAAGCCAGAGAGACATGAATACTATCATAGACACTTATATACAAACACATGAATTTTTTACTGTTTTATAGCTTTTATGATTGGCACCATCTGAATATATGATTTACTCCCAACTGATGGGAGATGTCCTTCTGTATATATGTTTCTCTTATTGGCTGATGAATAAAACACCGATTGGCCAGGCAGGCAGCTATGAGACAAGGAGAATTCTGGGGAGAGGAAGTGAGTGCTGGAGACCCAATGGGAAGGCCATTCACATCAGTCTGTCCAGCAATCTACGGCTGTGCTCAGCAGCTCCACGTACAAGATCACTGGGAGGAACACTGGGAGGTGTGTCTTGGCTGCGTCCTCCAAGATGGGTTACTAGGAAACAGGAGGGATGATCAAATAAGGGTCCTTCACGAGGGAAGCCTCAGAGGTGGGCCGTGGATTCCACCGTTAGAAAACAGTTGTCATGCAGATCTCAGGCTCAAAGCTGTTCGAAAGTAGGTGGATGGGTGTGCCTTTAATGCTATATAAATTAGTGTTTTTTTAATTTTGACCAAAGAGGGTTGCATACAAAATGTTAATAGTAGATGCTGGAGGAATGACTCAGTGATTAAGAGCCCTTGCTGCAGAGGACCCAGGTTCAGTTCCCAGCACCCACATTGGTAGCTCAAAGTCATCAAGAACTCCAGTTTCAGACCATCTGGTGCCCTCTTCTGACCTCTGTAGGCACCAGACAGGCACCTGGGGCACATGCAAACATGCAGGCAAAATACTCAAGCACATAAAATAAAATGAATAAATCATTTTAATGTAATAAGTTAATGGGTACTAATTGAGAAAAATACTTTAAGTTAGGAGATAAGCCTCTTCATTTCATAGATTTGATTCCTGAACATGCTCCCAGGTCTCTTTCTGGTAAACATCTTGGTTTTCATAAATTTTACATGGAAAATTGCAGTGTCAGAGTGAAGTTTTCCAGCATTGGTTTGAAAGGGTAATCCTAGAAGGTGATTAGAACCTTTCAGTCGGAGGTGGGGCTGGAGCGAGAGTTGCTCTGTGTTCAGATGGTCAGTTGCCAGCATCTCATGCATCCTACCAGTGCCTGGCATGCAGCTTCTAGATGCTGGCTCTGAAACTATTGTAAAGTTATAGGGGTTTTACCTTTTTTTTTGTTTGTTTGGTTTGGTTTTTGTTGTTGTTGTTTATTTTTATTTATTTGTTATGTTTTGTTTTCGAGACAGAATTTCTCTGTATATCCCTGGCTCTCCTGGAACTTGCTCTGTAGGCCAGGCTGATCTTAAACTCAGAGATGTGCCTGCCTCTGCCTCCCAAATACTTGGAGTAAAGATGTGTACCACCACTGCCCTTCTGACCCGTTGTAAAGTTTTAATGAGAATTTTTCATATTTCATGTAGAAGATGAGCAAGCCTCTGACACCATCCACATACATACGGAGCCTCAATGTTGGACTCATTAGGAAGCTGTCGGATTTTATTGATCCTCAAGAAGGATGGAAGAAATTAGCCGTAGCTATTAAAAAGCCGTCTGGTGATGATAGATACAATCAATTTCATATAAGGTAATATGCTGTTCATTTTTCTGATCCTTCCCATCACAAGGATTCAGGCATAAACACTGTCTAACATAACTGTCTCTTCTCATCTCTGCTTGATTAGTAGAAAACACAAATTCAGATTAAAATTTGTTGTTGTTGTTTTTCGAGACAAGGTTTCTCTGTATTGCTTTGGAGCCTGTCCTGGCATTCTCTCTGTAGACCAGGCTAGCCTCAAACGCACGTAGATCTGCCTGTCTCTGCCTCTCAAGTGCTGGGATCAAGGTGTGCACCACCACCACCACCACCACCACCACCACCACCACCACCACCCTGCCTCAGCTTTAAATTTTGTGCTATATTTTGCAGTTAAAACTTAATGGCAAAAAAATTGTCTTACATAGAGAGAAAAAATAAATTATTTTTTTTAATAAACCTGATAAAGACTCTAAAGCCTGGGCACCCAAATTGTCCTTCCTGCAAATGTCTGTTCATGTGAAGGCAAACATTTTAAGGTACAAGGGAAACTCAAAAACCAGTTTTTCAAGGATAGTTCATTGATATTTCCTTTAAAATGTAAGGTTGTCACAGCAGTCATTCTAGAGGGAAAGGGCTCTTCCATGCTGAACAGTGTCAGAATAGTAGAATGTATGTTAGCCATGTACAGCCATCAGGGAAGATTGCTTCCCACGGGCCTCGTGGGGCTCAAACATAAAGGTTTTGTCCCCAAATTTTGAATGCATTAAGAAAGAGAAAACTATCTGTTGCTAGTGACAGGGTCTTGCATAGCCAGGGCTGGCCTCAACCTTGTAAGGCTGTCCTTGGACTCCTGATCCTCCTGCCTCTACCCTCTAAGTGCTGGGACCACAGGTATGCATCAGCATACCCAGCCTGAGAGAGGCACTTGTGTCATAAAGAAATCCGAAGCACATTCCCCCTGTCCAAATGAACAGACAGTGCCACCAGTCATGGCCCCAAACTGCATTGTGTGCCTCTAGGTATGATGTAGCAGGAAGAAAACATTACCTACCGTGTGGTTCTTACCAAAAATGTTAACCATGTTTGAAATTACTCATTAAAAAGTAGTCCCGTAAATGGAGACTGAGATACAGACAAGATACCTGGCCTGCATGTAGGGCATGCCATGTGTAGAGGGAGGTTGAAAGAGCTTTCAGAAGAGCAGAGATGTGGACAGATGCTACCAGCTGACCAGTTGGGAAATCTAGATGGAGGGCAAGTTGTTGCTCACTGTGTTATTCTTTCAAAGGTTTTGTAAGTTAGAAATGTTTCCAAATAAAACCTTGGGAAGAAAATCGGAATAAGCTGTTTGGGCTAAGTTTTCAGTGTTACTTTGTAATTTTTAATTTTAAAGAGATGAGATGAAAAAATAAAGATGTCTTCCGTTCTATTTAATTAAATATAGCTGAGGCCAAAGTGTAGGCACATTCTACTTCATGAGGCAGGTTTGTCCATTTAAAAGTCTGCAGCTAGAAGACTATGTCATGTAAGGTGAACGTAAGATACTGCAATGTCGCTAAGTGGTTTAAAAGTGTACACTTTGGTCAGGAGCATTCAGAATTTGGATCTAACCTGGGTAACATTTTGAGTGTGCTGTGTGACTCACAGCTGACTACTCCACCCATCCCAGTGTAGCACACTCATAGTGACATTCTCAGCTTCTCTTTGGGGATATCCTGTAGCTCTCTGAGGTCATATTCGCTAAATATTAACCTGGTGGGTTTGACTGGTGTTCGTATTTGTGTGTTCGTGTTAACTGTGTGTGCATGGTAAGTGTTCATGTTTGTGGAGGCCGGAGGTCAGCCTGGGTTGCATTGCTCACTCTGGCTCCATCTTGTTTTTTGAGACACGGTATCTCAGCAGAGCCTGGAGCTTACAAATTCATCTAGACTAACTAACCAGTGGGCATCAGGGATACACCCATCACGGCCTGTCCAGACCAATATTAGAGCAGGTGCTCCGCACTGGCTTTTCTTCCCTGGATGCTGGGGAATCTGGACCCGGGTCCTTAGCCTTCATACTGGCAACGACAAACACTTTACCAGCTGAGATACCTCCCCTGCCCCAAAAGTTAACTTACTTTTTTTTTAGTTCTTTATTTTATTCCATGTGTATGAATTGCTTTGCCTACATGTATGTATTTGTACCACATGCATGCCCATACCCGTGGAGGGCAGAAGATGACTTTAGATCCCCCTGGAACTGGAAATGCAGGTGTTCGGGAGCTGCCCTGAGGATGCTGGGAACCAAACCCTGGTCCTCTGTAAGGGCAACAGTGTTCTCAATCGCAGAGCGTCCCTCCAGCCTCAGTTGTTAACTTGAACTGTCATCTTCTCTGGCTCCTTTTCTGCTGAGTGTCATTCTCCTAGGTGGGGTCCTTCCGGTTCTCTCACACTCCTGTTCCCTTACTGTCCTCGGGAGGGCCAGTGATCCCGACTGAAGGGGACCGGGAGTGGTGCAGAGATCGGTGTCTGTCTTCCGATGAACTCTCCAGTGTACTAGTTTTGTCTCTTGCTTTTCAGGAGATTTGAAGCCTTACTCCAAACTGGGAAAAGCCCCACGTGTGAGCTGCTGTTCGACTGGGGCACCACAAACTGCACAGTCGGTGACCTTGTGGATCTTCTGGTCCAGATTGAGCTTTTCGCCCCTGCTACTCTCTTGCTGCCGGGTAAACTGGGTGTGGCCAGAGTGCCAGCTGCTGGCTGAAGTGACGAATGGCAGAAATAGAAGTTTTGTTTTTCTTTTTGCTCTTCTATGGGATGAACACACCTGACACTCGAGTCCCCTTCATTCTTTCAGCTCTCCCTAGTCTTTAACCACTGTAAGTGGCTGATGCTCTGGACTGTGCTGCTAAGGCATAGAAACTCAGGGATGGAGTCTCAGCCCCACAAAGGCAGATCGTTTTGTGCCAGGAGGGTTTGTTTAGAGGGATGAAGAATGCGTCCTGCAAGAATTTATTCTTCTGAGCCATGCCTCTGGAGACCCCCATCGGGCGTCGCCTTGGCGAGACTCTCATCATGGCTCCCTTGCACTGCACCCCCGAGTTACTGTTGCTCTGCCTTTCACATCACCCCACTTCTCCTCTCCCTTTGGTACACTAGGGATCTCGACCTTTACTCTGTAAAGAGTCTCCTAGAGTTCTTACTGAACGTGCAGATTCCTGAGCTCCATGCCACACCTTCTCTTTTGGGGTGTGTTTTGATGATTTGGTTGGTTGGTTTAGGTTTTGGTTTTTTGAGACATGGTTTCTCTGTGTAGCACTGGCCATCCTGGAATTCACTTTGTAGACCAGGCTGTCCTTGAACTCACAGAGATCCACCTGCCTCTTCCTTCCAAGTGCTGGGACTAAAGGTGTGCACCACCACTGCCCAGCACCACACCTTCTTAATAGGACTTGTAGCACTGAGTTCAGTGTCTAATGTTTTTGGTCCTTCCCCCCACCCCCGTGTGTGTGTGTGTGTGTGTGTGTGTGTGTGTGTGTGTGTGTGTGTGTGTCTAGTTGTTTGTTTCTGAGATAGAATCTCAGGTAGCCCAGACTGGCCTTGAATTTACTATATAGTCGAGAGCAAAGTTGAACGTGATTCTCTTGCTTCAACCTTCAGAGTGTTGGGATTCCAGGTGGGCACCACCATGCCCACTAGTTCTCTGTTATTCAATAAGTACAGGGTTTCCTAACAGCTCTGAACCACTTTTGTAAACACTATCACTCTGTCTATTCATCTTTATCACAAGGGACAGCACCATACTGGGAATCTTCCTGTGTTTGGTGAGGATGTAGGGCCAACATTTGGGAGCTGCACGTGAGTTCCTGGTTATCTTAGTTAGGGATTCTGCTGCTGTGAAGAGACACCATGACCACAGCAACTCTATAAAGAAAAACATTAGGCTTAGTTCGTTATTGTCATGGTGGGAAGCATGGCATCACAGGGGGCAGGCATGGTGCTGGAGAGGTAGCTGCAAGTTCTACATACTGATTGTCAGGCAAGAGAGAGCCAGAGAGAGACTGAGCCTGGGCCTGGCTTAAGCATCTGAGACCTTAAAACCCTGGTGACACACTTCCTCCTACAAGGCCACACCTCCTAAGAGTTCCACTCCTTATGATCCTACGGGGTTCATTTTCATTGAAACTACCACACTGTTTTTCCAGACTTTTCCTTACACAGAGGCTAATTTTGTCTTCTGGTTCCGTAGATGCTGTTCCCCAAACTGTCAGCAACATACCTTCTAGAGAAGCTGCAACGGTGGCGCAGATGCACGGGCCCTGCCATGAAAAAGTCAGGACATTGGGAACGCCTATGCCGAGGCTGGAGCAAAGCTGTGGGCCACCTGACTCCTCAAGGCCAGACAATGAAAGCTTAGAGTTCAGCGATGCTGATATTCGTAAGTAACATTGCCTATGCTTTCCCACTGGTGGATTCACCATTATGGTGATTTAAAGAAAACCTCTTGCCATCTGTGCTGTGGTCAGAAGCAGGTTGGCAGTATCCTTAGACACGTGTTTTCCTCTGTGTTTATTAAGCACCATCATCATCGCGTCAGTTACTATTCTTTCAGTGACTTGAAGCAATGTGCCATGCAAACAGCCACGGAACTAAGAAAGAAAACAAGTCAGTGTGGTGTTGTACACCTGTGCTCTGGATACCGGGAAGGCAAAGGCAGGAAGGCCCAGGGTTTGAGGCCAGCTTCATCTGGGTAGCACATACAAGGCCAACCTGGTCTGTGTGATACCCTATCTCAAAAGCAAATGTATAAATAAAATAATTTTCACATGTGACTCAAGTTTTGGAGACAGAACTTAGCCAAATAAGTATTTTGGGTGAAGATACAGTGTTTGGTACAGAATCACCAAGTGTAATTGTCACACAAAAGGTTACAGTTGGTATTTCATGTGAGTGCTTGTGCATGCTTACGTGTGTGTGTGTGTGTGTGTGTGTGTGTGTGTGTGTGTAATCCTCAAATTGAGAAACTGTCAACTACTAAAGCCACATCCCTTCATTTAAGCACCTCTTCCTTGTTTTGTCGACACGATAGGTTTTCACAGTTTTTCGTTCTATGAACTGAAGAGTATCACTAATAACTTTGACGAGCGACCGGTGTCTGTGGGTGGCAACAGAATGGGAGAGGGAGGCTTTGGAGTGGTGTACAAAGGCCGCCTGAACGACACAGCCGTGGCCGTGAAGAAGCTTGGAGCGGTAAGCCATCTTCCTCCTGTCAGAAAAGGCTGTCAGTTAACCTCGGGATTTATTATCTCAGCACTCACTCTCTTTAAGGAAGCCCCATCCTAAGCTGCATCTCTTACTGGGTAAGAATCTGGTGAGGGCTGTGAAGCTGAGCCCTAGGAAAATGTTTATGGACACAGATGTAGAATCATGTTTGTATTTGTGAAAGTTCATGAGATAGAGTTAAGAAGCCTTGCACCACAGTGCCGCTTACATAATTTAGATTCAAGGTAAGATACTAAGAAAATATTATCTGGATACTTTTGTATGGACTGACTCATTTAAAAATACCATTTAGGTGCCAGTGAGATACTTTGGTAGGTAAAGGTGCTTGTCACCAAAAGCCTGGCAATCTAAGTTTGATCCCTGGGGGCCATATGGTAGAAGAAGAGTACTGACTCCTACAAGTTGTCCTCCGACCTCCACATGTTCACTGTGGCACAGGCATGAGCATGTGTGCGCATGTGCATGCACACACACACACACACACACACACACACACACACACATGCACGCACACACTCGTGCACATGCACAATAAATAAATGCAATTTTAAAAATAACATATACTTTTTTGAAACAGGGTCTCTCTATGTAGTCCTGGCTATTCTAGAATTCACTCTGTAGACCAGGCTGGCCTCAAACTCACAAAGATCTACCTGCCTCTGCCTCCCAAGTGCTAGGATTAAAGGCATGTACCACCATGCCCAGAAAAATACTATTTTTTAAATGCTCGTTATAAAAAAAGAGTTTCCTTGCCTGTTGTTTGTTCCTATTTCTATAAGGCTTTTTTATCTTTAATTATTTTTTATCAGTCTGCTATATCTTTAAAAATGTCAATATCCTGCATATGTATATAACACAGTATCCATCATTTGTATTGCAGGTGCTTTCGTAGGACTTAATTCTCTTTTTTCTATTCACATTTACTTTCATGGTGTTACACAGAATTCTTTTTTAAAATTTCTCTGTGGTGAAGTTCTATATTTCATTTTGTTTCTACTCAATAAGGTTTATGGTTTTTTTCCTTTCTCCAAAATAATATGGACCTAGGGCAAATCACTTGTATTTCTAGATGTCAATAATTCTATAAAACAAAGAGAATAACCTTGTGGGGAACAAGTGTACCCCTGTATGAGCAGATCATGAATGAGCTTTTGTGACATGAGAATGGTCATGTCAAAGACCCCAGTGCCTCAGGCTCATGGGAAGGGAAGGGCAAGGCCTTCCTCCAGTCTGAGTATGGATGCTAACAAATGGTTGGCCTTTAGGTAAAGCCAGTGCATGTAACTCAGCCTCTATTTCCTCATCCCAGGTGACTGCAGCCTGAGGCTGCTGCCCTGCAAAGACCCCCCCACCCACCCCCAAGATTAGCTCACAGGCATCCTAGGACATGCTGTGTGTACTAAACACACTGAGTATCTGGGTTGCTGGTATGTCACCATCTTGCCACATGGGTCACTTGATTCCAGCTTTGTGTTACTTATGTCTGTCTGTCTGTGTCTCTTGTCACTCCCTGTCAGATTGTTAGAACCCAGCCATGCAGATGGTAGCAAGACATTATTTTTTACTCATTTTCCTGTACTGTTATTGAATCCTGGGTCAGCACCTTACATATGTTAGGCCAGTAGTTTACCACTGAGCTACATCCCAGCCCTCATAATGACTCACTTGGAGCAAAGGTCAAGCTGCATAAGCCACCCTTGAACTCACTCTGTAAGCCAGGCAGGCCTTGAACTTGATGTTCTCCAGCCTCAGCCTCCCAGTTATCTGGGACTACAATCCTGAGTCACCTGTTTTGCCATGTGATATTAAAGTAAGCAAATAAGTAGGGGACTCTTTCTTGACCCCCGTCCAACTTCACAAGCCACAAGGTTATTGCATTGTGTTACAATATATATTTTTATTTTCCTAGATGGTTGAAATCAGTACTGAGGAACTAAAGCAACAGTTTGATCAAGAAATTAAAGTCATGGCAAAGTAAGTGTTGATTTGCCAGTGTGGCATGGGCAAGAGCATGGCATAGGGCAAGGGGACCCAGCTTCTCCCCCAAAGTGTGCAGATTCCGGTGTGTAAAGATACAGGGTTGAGACCAGCACTGTTGATTCTCCAAGTATATGATACATATGCTGGCAGATTAAAAGAAGCTGGTATTTTACATCACAACAAAGTTACAGAGGACTTGAAGTGCTTCCCATTATCAGATGTTCTACTCCAGGAATAAAAAAAAAACTATTTATAAATCCAAGAATGATGGTATACTCCTGTAATCCCAGCACTTGGGAGGTTAAGGTAAGGGATTGTGAATTCAATGACAGCCTGTGCTATGTTGCAAGTTCTAAGATAGCCTATATAGGAAGACTTTCTCAATAAATAAATAAATAAATACAAAGACTGTTTACAAAATAACAGACCCTCCAAGAAGTTAAAATTCAGAGGAAACTAAGGAAATACTATATACAAAGACTTTGAGGCTATATTGATGTAGAATGTAGGAAATTACTGCGCTCCATAAGGAAGGGAGGAGAGCTGAGTCAAAAAGCGTAACAATCACAGTGATTGGCATTTGAGTCTATGCATTATGCCATACCCGGTACTGCCTACTTTAAGTTCATGGACTCATTTCATTCTGAGAACAATGAGTACAACGTCCTTTATTTAAAAAAAAATAAGTTTTAGAAGTGTGAAATAATTTGCCCAAGGTCACATTGCCAGCAAGTATTAGAGATTGGTTCTGGTACAGGTGTATCTAATTCCAAAGCTTTTGATCTGAATCCTAAGAAGGATTTTAAACAGTCACCATGAGGCCATCGCTACCCATCACCCACTCTAGTTATTTGCCCTCATAAAATAGCTAACAAACTGAGAGTAACTCGTGTGTAGTAAAAATGTGTACATGGAAGCAACAGCCAAAGCCCTCCTCAGATCTGACCTCACCTCCGCCTCCAGTGCCCAGTTCTAAGCGTAACTTGTGGCCCAGGAGGTGAGCTGCCTGCCATGAACAAGGCTTGGGTTTCATCACCAACACAATTAAAATGACATGTGGTGTCACACACTTGTCACCCTCTAGATTGCACTACATCTCAGCCTCTAATGCTACACTTTTTAAATGCCACTTTCTGGACCTTAGTATCAGAATGACCAAGTCCAGATTTCTTAGCTCTATCCGTTCGGGAGTAAAATTATAACATATTATGAAGGTTAGTGAAACAAAATAGGTGAGCCACCACCTACTTTATAGACAGTAGAAATTCGATGTGTATTATCTACTTGTGCTTAAAATCTGCAAATGTGGTGGAAATGGGGGCTTTATCAGTTCCACTTACACTTCTCAGAGTATTTCTGGCTGTAGAAGTCTGATTTTATTATATATGAAGAATTAAAGATGGCGTGGAATGAGCAGAATGAATAAGCCCTGAATGTCGTGTGCTGTGTGTGCTTCAGGGCGCTCACAGGTATTCATTAATTCTCACAGCATCTGCATTGTGTGGTGCTGCTATGCTAGTGCCCTGTTCTGTATGCTGGGAAGCTCTGAGACTGGCGTTGTCAGCTTGCCGTGTGTCACAGGTCCAGTAGGTGGCAGGACTGCGCTTTCAGCTGAGGCCTGAAGTTTTGTTATTCTGTAGCCTTTGTACTCATTTCTCTCAAATGTACAGAAAACTCAGATTGTAGACAAGCATGTTGTTAAAGACCACAAGCATGAAAATTCAGTGTGACTGAAAACCATTCCTGTAAAGCAGTGCCTTGGGTGTGTTAGAGTTTTGTTATGTTCATGGATTTGTCCATGTTCTAAGTTTCCAGGCCTTGAAAGTGCATTGGACAAAGATGGGCGTCAACCTTGTTCTGAACTAACCTGTCTCAGGTTCCACTGATCTGATCAAATGTGACTATAGAACTGGGAGAGGTTCACTTCTGCTGTGGGTCAGTGTCACTGAAACAAGAACCGGCTGCAGGAAAGAATCAACGATTTCAGTGAGCGTGTTAGCATGTTATGAGCACCTGTCACATTACATATGCTATAATGACATATTATATAACACACACATATATATGCAGTTACCTCTTTCTGGTAAAACTCTTAAATTGAGTGACTCCTAGAAATATTTAGTATAACAGTTTTGCATGCTACCCCACTTGTACAGGTGTCAGCATGAAAACCTGGTAGAGCTGCTTGGCTTCTCAAGCGACAGCGACGACCTGTGTTTAGTGTATGCTTACATGCCCAATGGTTCCCTGCTGGACAGACTGTCCTGCTTGGTAAGACACCTGTCACCAGGTTTTCTCACTTTCTGTTTGTATGTTTGGATTGCTAGTGTCCACATTTGTTCGGGATCGCTTAAACCACGTTAAACTTACTATTTTCTTGTTCCGTGAAATGATGCCGTTTATGTGTTGACAGGTATCGAAAATTTAAAATGCAAAAGCATCAGTCAAGGCTGGGTATTGATGATGGTCTCATGTATTTTTCTTTTCTTTATTTTTTTTGTTTTATTTTTTGTTCTTATTTTTTCTCTTCCTTTTTTTTGTTTAAGTTAGAAACAAGCTTGTTTCACATGTCAACCCCAGCTCCCTCCCCTCCTCCCCATCCCTCCCTACCAGACCCCCCCCAGCCCCCCGCCCAGTCTACTCCAATCCCCAGGGAGGGTGAGGCCCACCATGATGGATCTCCAAAGTCTGTCATGTCATCCAGGGTAGGGTCTAGGCCCTCCTTCAAGAGTCCAGGCTGAGAGAGCATCCCTCATTGTGGGATGGACACTCCAAGTCCATTTGTATGCCAGGGATAAATACTACCCAAGGTCCCATAGATTACCTAGGCCTCCTCACTGACACCCACATTCAGGGTTCTGGGTCAATCCCATGCTTTCTACACAGCCATCCATCTGGGGTCCAAGAGCTCCCCCCTTGTTCAGGTCAACTGTTTCTGTGGGTTAAACCAGCCCAGGTATTTTTATTTTCAAGTGAGGAGTACAGAGTCCATTTAATCTTAGTTGAGATTATTTTTTGCACGCTTTAAAAATTGTCATCCTGAATTCTTAATGATACGGCTAGTAATACAAAAGTGACTACAAAATATACTGTTATGGGTTTTCTACAGATTTTTTTCACCTAGACCATTATTTAAAATCAGGTTTTTTTCCATAAGGATGGAACCCCACCACTTTCTTGGCACATGAGATGCAAGATTGCTCAGGGTGCGGCTAATGGCATCAGTTTTCTGCATGAAAATCATCATATTCATAGAGATGTTAAAAGGTAAATCTACTATGGGGAAGCTTTTGAAGCCATCTTTAAAGAATAATTTTCTCTTGCTCTTTTCATTCCCCCTTTGCATGTTTATCTTAACATGCTGTGGTTAGACTTCCCCCAGCACTGGAAAACCCTTTGCACTATACACACCTATGATCTCCATCATTCCAAGCCCTCTGACCTACTTCTTCTTGGGGAGATTAAGTGTTTTCTTGGGTTTTGGATCACTGATCTCTCCTGAATCACCTTCATCCTCCATGGATGTTTTTCAGTCCTCTCCACTCTTATGTTATTTACCTAGTTAAATATTTACCTGCTATGTTCTAGACATTGTGCATGATATGGTCAGCAGATGTACCTCAAAGCAGAGTTCAACGTATCAATCATATAATCACAAAATAATTGTTTTAGCGTTTATTATAGTGTTGCGTATTACTATCAAGAAGGATTTTGAAAAAAAAATGATATTTAAGCTGAGACCTGAACAATGAGCAGGAGATAAGGAAGCATAGTCTGAGGATAGTTGTGCAGAAGATGAGGAAAGTATTCTAGAAAGCGTAAGCCTATAAGATGCATCTTAAGAGGGAATAAGAGGGGACTGGAGAGATGGCTCAGTGGTTAAGAGCACTGGCGCTCTTCCAGAGGTCCTGAGTTAAGTTCTTAGCAGGTGGCTCACAAGTGGAATCTGATGCCCTCTTCTGGAATAAAGGTGTACATGCAGATAGAGCACTTATTTACATAAAATAAATAAATCTTTTTTTAAAAGGGAATATGAAATCATCGTGAGTTACAGAAAGTAAAAATGATTACAGTGTGACTGATGTGCCGAAAGTGAGGGGTAGAAGACATGTGAGGAAATTAAATAAATGAGCAGGGAATCAAGTCATATGGGACCCAGTAGATGAAGGCAAGGGTTTGATCATAAATGTAATGAGACGCTGTTGAAAGTTATAAAAGTACGGTAGTGGTTCTCAACCTTCTTAGTGCTGCAACCCTTCATACCGTACCTCATGTTGTGGTGACCCCTGCCATAAAATTATTTTGTTGCTACTTCCTAACTAGTTATGAATTGTAATTTAAATATCTGATATGCGCCGGGTGGTGGTGGCACATGCCTTTAATCCCAGCACTTGGGAGGCAGAAACAGGAGAATCTCTGTGAGTTCGAGACCAGCCTCATCTACCGAGCGAGTTCCAGGACAGGCTCCAAAACAATACAGAGAAACCCTGTCTCGAAAAAACAAAACAAAGCAAAATATCTGATATGCATGATATCGGATAGTCAACCCATGTGAAGATCTCATCTAACCCCCAAAGGGATCCCACAACTCACAGGTTGAGAACTGATGGACTACAGTATCATATTCAAGTTTTGCAAATCAATCTGAGTCTAACATAGAGAGCAGTTTAAAATCAGGGGTAATTAATAGAGCATTACAGACATCTTGGTAGACATGCTCACTGCACAAGTGAGCAGACACAAGCGATTGAGGTAGAAAGACATGTTTATGCCTTAGCCATAGAGAGTCCAGGAAGAGGGAAGTTTCAGTCATAGCCTTTGAACTTCCAGCGCCCACAGTTGCACTCTGGGAATTATTGTGACATGACTCACTTACATGGAAAGGACCAGAAGAACTCCAGGTTGGGGTGGGCTTAGGAGAGGTGTGCAGTCTGTGTTGGAAATTCTTTTAAGATGGAGAGGCTAGTCAAACGGTATGACATACAGATTTCTAGGCAGAAGTCTGAGCTGAAGATATGTGTACAGCACTTGCATGGACACGATGCTTGAAGAATTATCGGTTAATTATGGAAAGGTACAGCATAAGGGCCCAGGGTTAAATCCAAAAGACCCCTAAGACATAATGGCCAAACACAAGGGAACAGTCCCCAAAAGACATCTAATAAACTATATAAACACACAGGTAAATGAAAGCCCACACATGGATTGTACTGTCTCCAAAATCAGGTAAAGAAAGTTTGCCAAGAGGGGTGGGTAGAAGTCAGGTTAACCCATTGGATTAATACCTTGCAGGTCAGTCATGAGTTTATGGAGAACTATTTCCATTTAGGAACTGAGTTAGAAGTCAGATTGTATGGGGGGCAGAGCGGGAGCTAGAAAACTGGAAATAGAATAGAAACATTCTTCTTATCATATTTTGATACTAAAATGTAACATCTGAAAACAGATATATCATTTAGGAATCCCTTAAGATTGCCAGGACTGGTTCATGCTTAAATGGCTATGAGAAGGGCCTAAGAGAAGAAGGAAAGAATACAATAGAGAAAAACGAGACAAGTCTTAAACTAAGGTCATGGAGAATGCCAGGAGCCACACAGAGGAGGGGGCTGGTTCAAAGAGCAGCCAGTCTCTGTGTCTGATGAGCTGGGAATTCTGCTCACTGTCTTCTGTCCTTCCTAGGTATTCTATGCCACGCTGTTGCAAAGGCTTATTGGATGTGCCTGAAAATTCACACTTCTCATTTTTCCCCAGTAACATTTGTTGACTTTTATCAACTTCTTTTTCAAGCGCTTCTACTGGACAAAACCAATTTATACTGGGTCTCAGTTATTCCCTCCCATAGTGGCAGCTTAAGGTCCTAAAAGGCATGTTTGATGATAGCATCAGTTGCCTGTTCCAAAAGCTGAATGGTGTCCTGGTGCCCAAGGATAAATTCTTGCTTGCTCTGGTATCTCTGCCCTTCTTCCCAGCATTCTCTCTGACCTGAAAATCCTGCCTAGCTATTGTCCATTTAACTTTTTATTAAGCCAATCACATAGTGTAAAAGAATATTCCACAAGACTGCCATGTAATACATATGGTATGCAAATACACCCCATTAGAAAATTGAATTTCTTCCTATGAACAGTGCTTTTGGCCTAAGGAGGTAGCTCAGTAGTAAGGCTGTTGACCACCTTGTGTGAAGCTCTGGGGCTAGTCACCAGCACCATTATAAATTTTGTTTTGAAAGAAAGCTCCCTTGGAAGGCTGTCTGTGGCATACCCAAACTTCACCTCCATTAAGAGGACATTTTATTATGTTTTTATTCCCTTAAACATCTCTCTTCTAGATACAGGAAAGAAAGCAAAATAGCAATTTCTCTCTTCCTGTCATCTGAATAATTGACTGATTTAAACACATCTCAGTCTTCTATACTGCATCTCTCAAATGACACACAATGTAACTAATATATACCTACTACTAATATATATATGCATATATACGCATATACCTCTTTCTAAGAACCTATTTGACCTCATAGGCAAAATGTTTTATTTAAATAAGAAAAAAATGCTTTCTTCCTTCAAATTTAATTTTTTTTCCAGTGCAAATATCTTGCTAGACAAAGACTTTACTGCCAAAATATCTGACTTTGGTCTTGCCCGGGCTTCGGCAAAGTTTACCCAGACAGTCATGACAAGCCGAATTGTGGGCACAACGGCTTATATGGCACCTGAAGCTCTGCGGGGAGAAATAACACCCAAATCGGATATCTACAGCTTTGGTGTGGTACGTGATCATTCTCTTTATTGTCCTGCATGGATTCTTTATAGTGTGTGCATGTGCATGCGCATGCCACAGCATACATATGCCAAGAGCCAGAGGGTGGCTTTTGGGAACCAGTTCTCTCCTCCCAACATCCACCATGTTGGTTCCAGGGAACCAAACTCAGGCTGTCAGGGTTGGTGGCAAGTGCCTGTACTAGCTAGGCCCTCATTCCGGCCCATGATGATGCTTTTGAAATTGTGAATTAAATTAGGATGCTTTAGTACACGTGTCTTATTTAGCTCTCTTATATAAATATATAAACTATCCATATTAGCCTATAGTTACACCAGAAAGTTATGAACAATTCTCAATATGCAATACTTTTGAGTTGGCTTCTTTTTCATTGCTGCAAGGAGAGATTTTCTTATTGTGGATCCAAACGAAGCTTAAATTGAGTCAGAACACAAAATTAGTCCTGTCACATAATAGGTGCTTTATTTCTCTTGCCTTTTTTGTCATTCTATCATCTAACAGATGTGGAGAATGAGGGGTGAGATTAATGGGGCCTCACCTTCATCTTAGTCTTCCAAATATGTTTCATTTATGAAAACAATTTTACTCCACCATAGGGTTAAAGCACAGGGTTGTAAAAATGTGGCTACTGGCTAGAAAATAAGGTTCTCCTGAGAGACCTGTAATAGTGAAAGTGCCTGGAGTTCCCTTAATGTATGTCCAGGAAAATTTTTTGTAGCCATAGGTTTATGCAGGAATTACTAGGTAGATTTCTGTAAACATCCATGTTCCAGGCCAGTGGTTAGCACAACAAGAAAGCCTTGCTTAGCGTCTGAGGAGTCCCAGAACTCAGTCCATAATCATTTTAATTTCCTTTTTTTTTTTTAAGATTTATTTACTTATTATGTACATAGCTTTCTGCCTGCACGTATGCCTGCAGGCCAGAAGAGGGCACCAGATCTTACTATAAATGGTGTGAGCCACCTTTTAGTTGCTGGGAATTGAGCTCAAGACCTCTGGAAGAGCAGTCAATACTCTTAAACTCTTAGTCATCATCTCTCCATCCCTCCTTTTAATTCCTAATCCATGTCTTCATCGTTTTGCTAATGTATCCTTTTGTCTTCCTAGGTTTTATTAGAGCTAATCACCGGACTTGCGGCTGTGGATGAAAACCGTGAGCCTCAATTACTAGTAAATAATTCATTTTTGCCAGTCTTTTCTGCTTTTGCCTTTGTGGTCTTAAATTTATATGTGTAAATATGACATATAGAAATGGCATTTCTGACATAATTCTGGCTATGTGTCGTGACATAGTGAAAGCTCATGATATGTTTACAGTCTTAGGTGTGCTGGATGTGTGCCTAAAAAGATTATTTATATAGTCCTTGTTCCAGTGTCTTTGTAGCAAAAATGAGAAGAAAGATGGTTTGCCTGTGGTTTGTTACTTTCCAGGTTATACAGGCCCTGGATGGTGGAACCATTTTCAGGTCATAGGGAAGAAAAATTATAGTTTTTGTTCATATCCATGTAAGAATATAAATGCCAGTAATACTCATTGTGGAGTATTTTACTTGCAAAGTTAAAACACTGCCCTGCTGTACTACCATTCCTACCCTTCTTGATGCCAGGGATGGAGAGATGACAAAGCAGTCAAGAGCTCATACTGTTTTTCCAAAGGCCCATGTTTAGTTCCCAGCAGACACATTAGGTGTCTTACAACTGCCTGTAATCCCCGTTCCAGATCTGAGGCCTCTGATCTCCACAGACACCTGCATACTTGTACACATACCGGGACAGGCGCGCGCGCACACACACACACACACACACACACAGATAATTACAATAAGACTTCAGAAGGACAACAAAAGTCTTAGTGTCAATACTAACTTGAGTAAACGGTAGCATGTGAGATTGTTACAAATATTTGCCACTAAACAAAAATGTTCATGGTCTGTTGGAAATGCAATATTACAATAGTATATGTAATATATTTACATTGGAAGATATTTGTGAGAATACTCTAATGGTATTCAGATTTTTATAATGGCAAATCAAAAGGTAAAATTTATGTTAATGAGAAATAAAAAGCTCTCTGTCCTATCAGTTATGAGAGAAGCCTAAATTGGAGTTGCCATATTTGAGCTGTTTGTATATGAACACAGACAAAATTCAGGGTGGGGTTGTATTAAAGACATAGACATTAGAAATACGGAGTCAGGGAGATGTTTTGCTGCCAGTGACACACTTCCTCCTGCAAAGCCATACCTCCCAATCCAACCCAAACAGCACCACCAATAGAAAACCAAATGAGCCCATGGTGAGCATTCCATTCAGACCACTGCACCCAAGATGACCTCTCATTTCAGATGTCTTCAAAGATCATTTTTCCACATGAGGTCATATTTGCAGCCTCCAGAAGCCAGGACGTAGACATACATAGATACACATCTCTGGGGCTACCACTCAACTGACTGTTCAGCCCCCAGCACCATCTCCTCCTGGTTCATCTCCCAGTCCTTCTTTCTCTTTGATTCCCCAGCCTGAGTTCCTGTCGATAAGTGCGGGGTGTCTGGGTCTAGAAGGTGGAATTGCATTTTCAAAAATTATCAAGAAGTTGATGACTCTGAACTGGCCACTGCTGCAACAGAAATTCGAGCAGTCAGCTCATCACAAAAAAGACAAGGATTATAAAGCAGATGGGTAGGAGTAAATGGGAATAAGACTAGTAAATCAGTAACGTGTGCATGTGGTGTACATTTCCTTATCTGCAATTTGTCCTGTGTGGCCTCAAGTCCTCAGGAAGTTATAAAAAATCGTAAGATAAGAGTACAGGTTATTTCAAAAATAGACAAATTTAAGTAATTTATATTTATATTCTCATTTCTTCCATGTTGAAGCTTTTAACCAAGGTTTAATGTCCATTTTGTAGCTGGATATTAAAGAAGAGATTGAAGATGAAGAGAAGACAATTGAAGATTACACCGATGAGAAGATGAACGATGCTGACCCTGCTTCCGTTGAAGCGATGTATGCTACAGCTAGTCAGTGTCTGCACGAAAAGAAAAATAAGAGGCCAGACATTACGAAGGTACCACTTTTATACCCATACACACGTGGATACTGTGGGGGTCGTTATCCTTTACTAAGTAGACATTTCAAGGCATTTGTGTAATGTTCTTTTGTTCTTTCTTTTTGAAAGGTTCAACAGCTGCTACAAGAGATGTCTGCTTAAAACCAATGAAATAGACTTCATATATATGTATATGTATACATTTATGTGCGTGTGTACACATAGTACGTGCACGCACACACACTCTATAAGCACTTGCCTCCTCACACACCCCCCTTTTGTTTTTACTTCTTGTGGTCATGGAGACTGAACAAGCACTTTGTCACTGAACTACATCACCAGCATGTTTTTTGTTTTTGTCTACCTAAATTTCTTTATCTTTAACAAGGCAGCATGGCACAGTGTACTGGTGAATTAATGGGTGTGTCCCCACACTGCAAAAGTGAGAGTAGTGTGGCAGCACTTGGCCTACTTTGTATGGAGCTCATTTTCCACGGCAACATCACCAAACTACAGCAACTACAAGAGTCAGGAAAACAGCACTCCCCTGTAGGATAGAGACGCTAGGATTTTAGGGGTTTGTTGTTGTTGCTGTTGTTGCTGTTGAACACAGGGTCTCTGTGTAACCCTAGACGTGCTGGAACTCTCTTTCTCTGTAGACTATGCCCGCCTTGAACTCAGAGATCTGCCTGCCTCTGCCCCCCGAGGGCTGGGACTAAAGGCCTACACCACCACTGTCTAGCCAGAGATTCTGGTTTGAACTCAGTAGGTCCCACTAAAGCTCTGGTCCAGCTGTTAGCTACCCTAAGCCTCAGTTTTGGCTTTTCTTTTTTGTTAATGAACTCTGTGGTCCTGTAAATAACTCTTCCTAAGTTCCTGTAAGTATTCCCCACCACCGCTCCTGTAATCCTAATTAAACTCATTGGGTCACCAACGTAGACAAGGTGGACTTAGTTGTTCAGTCCTGTCATTGGTGTCCTAATGTGAATGAATAGATGTTCACTTGTCTCCCCCAAGAAAAATTCACACACTTGGTGCTTTATGTGGGGCATGACAGAACTAATGATGAGCTTAGGTGTGGCACTTGCATTGTCTCTGCTGCATGACAGAAACTGGGGCTAAGCTGTCTGAGGGTGGAGCACCCAAGGACAGGCAATCCTGATGTCATCCTTTCCCATGTGGCAGAAATGGCAGGCTCTCTTGCTCTACTGGGTGGTTTTGCATGTCAACTTGACACAAGCTAATGTCATCAGAGAGGAATGAGCCTCAGCTGAGGAAATGCCTCCATGAGATCCAGCTGTAAGGCATTATCTCATTTAGTGATCAATGGGGAAGGCCTCAGCCCATGGTGGATGGTGCTGTCCCTGGGCTGCTGGTCCTGGGTTCTTTAAGAAGGTAGGTTGAGCAAGCCAGTAAGCAGCCCCCCTCCATGGCTGCTGCATCAGCTCCTGCCTCCAGGTTCCAGCCCTGCTTGAGTTCCTGTCCTGATCCCTCAGTGATGAACAGCAATGCTGAAATGTAAGCCTAATAAACCCCTTCCTTCCCAACTTGCTTTTCGAGTCATGGCATTTCTCATCACAGCAATAGAAACCCCTAAGACAGGCCATCTTTCTGTCGGTATGCAATGACATGCGTGCTTCCTTGATAAGTAGAATCCACCATTTGATGCTACAATGAGACAAAGGGCAGATTCTATCCTCTGTTATTCTCTAAATTGGCAGGTAAAATCAAAGAGAAAAAATGAGACAAGGGCACATACCCTTTAATGCCAGAATTTGGGAGATAGAGCCAGGCAGTTTCTGTGAGTTTGAGGTCAGCTAGAACTATAGTGTGACTCTCTCTGTTTCTCTGTCTCTGTCTCTCTCAATCTCTGTCTTTCTCTGTGTGTATATGTGTGTTTGTGTGTGTATCTGTCTCTCTGTCTCCTGCCCCTTCTCTCAAGAAAGAAAGAAAGAACAGAAGGAAGGAAGAAGAAAGAAAGAAAGAAAGAAAGAAAGAAAGAAAGAAAGAAAGAAAGAAAGAAAGAAAGAAAGAAAGAAAGAAAGAAAGAAAGGTAGTGTGGCAATGAAAATCTCTTATATTCCAAGAAACCAGAACTTTTGCTAGACCTCACAGCCAGTTAATAATATACCTGAGGTCACTGAAGGCTGATATCCTACTGTGTAGTCAGCCTGTTTGCTTAACTGCATTTAAGAGAACAACCTGATAATCAGCCTTATTTGCCTTTGATTTCCCATAGTCAACTTTTACAACCAAAGCTAATGAATAACTGTAATCTTGAGTTATCTACTCTTCCACATCCCTGACCCATGAGTAATGCATGCATGCTTTGCCTATGCTGTGATAATCATTTTCTGAAAACAGCAAGTATATATTGAAAGCAGTCTTATAACAATGAATATCCGTAATCATTGAAGACAACATAAGGGTGTTGTTTGATAAACAATGATATATGTAATACTGTTTGTTATCTGGGTCAGTTGGGGTCGGTTGGAGTAAGTGACTTGTAAAACACTGTTAAAGATTTCTATAAATGTCCCCATTCCTTCCCTGTGTGATACTCTCTATGCTATTCAGCCCTTTTTTAGGGATAACCACGTTACACACACAGATATACAGTCATACAAAAGGGAAAGAATCACAGGACAGCATTTAGGCAGACATAGATTCAGACTCACATAACAGACAGACACAGGGGAGCAAAGCAGCACATTCATATCTGGGCTTATTGTTGGTTAAGTGACACCAAAGGGAAGTGCTGTATTGATTTCTGTACTTAATGCAACAGCAGCCTGTTATTGGTAATTGAGTTTATTATTAGTGCATTCAAACTGATGCACGTCGAACTGCTAGCTTGCCATTTCATATGTCTGAGGGTGGAGGTCTTAAAAGAACGTACAAATAATATGTATGATAAGTAGTCCTCCCTGGGATCCCTAACCTTGGAACCCATGGGGAGAATATATCAGTGAGAATGAAGAAGGAATGGAAGGCATCCCTCATGTATGATCTTTAATACAGAAGAAGGAAAAACATGGCCCAGTGTGATAATCATGGGCTATTGTGCCATTGAACTGTTTGAATTGGGAGAGACTTTTATATGAGAAAGTAGTCACAGCCTTGCTCTTAAAGTTACAGGACAAGAAAGTAAATGGGATCAGCCTAGTGTTGTGGAAGCAGAAAAATGGATATAACCACATGTCCCTGCTTAAGGCAAGTGCTATATGATCTGTGGTCTGAATAGGTATGGCCCCATAGACTTGAGTGTTTGAATGCTTGGCCCATAGGGAGTGGCACTATTAGGAGGTGGGCCTTGTTGGAGGAAGTGTATCACTGTGGGAGTGGGCTTTGAGGTCTCATGTGCTCGAGCTAGGCCCAGTGTAGCACTGCGGATCCAGATGTAGAACTTTCAGCTCCTTCTCTAGCATCATGTCTGCCTGCATGCCACCATGCTTATCGCCATGGTGATAATGGACCAAACCTCCGAACTGTAAGCCAGCCCCAGTTAAACATTTTCCTTTATAAGAGTTGCCGTGGTCATGGTGTCTCCTCACGGGAATAGAAACCATAATTAAGACATAATCTGAGACAGTATGAGGGAAATCACTCTCTGATGGGTGGATTACAGATACTTAGTTTTCTCCAGCTGGGAGTCCCCTGACTACTATGCACTAGAGGACAGTAGGGGAAGGATAGACATGGAAATAATCAAGCATGAGAAAGGCAGTGTTAAATACCCAGATCATTGTGCCAGATGGGACCAGGAGATTTAAAAGAGGTCGATTCAGCAGTTACCGTGAGGCTGATACAGGCTGTAATGGCTCCATTGAGCCCATTGTGGCTCATGGCCTTCATTGCAAAGAAGCACCCCTGGCAGGTCCAAATAATGTAGACTAATGTGTAAATAAATTTATAAAGTAATAAAGCAATCAAGAGGGATTTTTTTAAATCAGACAAAGGAACCTGTGCAGGAACTGGAAAACTAATTTGAGGCAATATTAGTATCAAGCCAGTGTTCCTAAGCAAAAAAAAAAAAAAAATGATAGAAAATTCAATGGTACTGAGCCTCTGGAAGGCTTTAAAGCCCGAAGCAAAAGTTTAATTACTGTATAAATGTCAACATTACAAGTGAAAAAGACTGTCCCCAGGATTGTAATTAAACACCCACCCCCAAACAGAAGAGGCAATGCACACTCCTCTCCTGGGAGGCAGTATACTGGGAGTGGAAAGTGTTTGCCCAACCTAGAGACCTCTCGGTAGCCAGATGTAGCCAATGGAGAAGCAGCAACCAGGCACAGCGTAGCCCAAAGACAATCAGATCTGTGGAGATTGTTAACGGTGGAAGGTGTGATATGGCTGGGCTTCCTCTAGGCTCTAGGCTAGCCCAAGCAACAAGAGTCAGCCCAAGCCCCACGGAGCCTGTTTCAGGTGGGAAAGTACACGTCATCCCTGTGGTAGCACACCAGCATGTGGAAATGGAGCAACTGATGGCAAATGGTTGTGGATAGTGGTGGGTAACTAAGGAAGTAGCTCCCATTCACACAGCTGTACTCAGCACCAGGTTTTGAGAAAACAACTGGTAGAACTGGAAATTTTTCATGGTATAATTGACCACACTATCATTTTTCTTCAGTATCCTCAAAGCTACGGACTTCTGAAGTCAATTGGCAATGGGTTGTCAGGGTGGGTGGTGGTCCTTCAGAGGTCCTGCTACCCTTTGCAAAAAAAAAAAAAAAAAGGCTTCATTTCACAGGTGATGTAATGCTATCTCCTGGGTGTTTTAAGAGATTTAAGAAGGCATCTGAGAGCTGGAGAGATTGCTCAGCGGTTATGCTCCTGCAGAGGACCCAAATTCAGTTCCCAGCACCCATGTCATGGAGTCTACCAACAGCCCTGTGACTCCAGCCCCAGTGGTCTACAGTGCCTCTGGCCTTTGACGAGGGCACCTGCCATCACATGAGCATACCCACCCCACACCTACACATAATTAAAAAGAAACAGATTTAAAGAAAGAAAAGAAAGGCTTCTGAAACACACTCAAGCACCTGGGAAATCAGTTCATACAAGGATCAAGCGCCACCCACAACTCGGAAGTCCCTGAGAGCTTTACAGTTGGGTAAAGCACAGAGGTCATACAACAGAATGGGGGGGGGGGGGAGTTGTCCAACAGCCTGCACCTGTCAGTTTCAAAACAAAGCTCAGAGCTTGAACAGAAAGAAGTACCTTGTTTGGTTGGAAATACATATTCCTAGAAGCCATAATGTTAGCGGGAATCCCAGTGGTGGGGATAGGGTACCTCCTGAGTTGTTTTCACCAGAACTAGATAGTAAGCCCCTAATCCTGAAGATACCACACACTTGGGTTGTGGAACATGGAGAGATCAAGCTGGAACTGGGTAGGAGCTTCCTGCTAGCTAACTCTCACTGTGTTGGAAGGTGCTGTGCAGGCTGCCGGGGAAAGATTGTCAGGAGTGTCCTACTCAGAAGTGATCTCTGCATGTTACCCTACAGACTTTGTCAGACAAGGTGTGACCACTAATGCAATAGTGGCACAATTGTTATGGGAACTGCCAACTGCTTTTTGAGTGGATGCAAGGTCTATTCCACAGCAAGAAATTCCTACCGAGTGCCGTCAGCCAGTTCAAAGGCCCATGAATAATGAGGTCATAGGCCCTATTAGGCAATCTTCTGTTCTTGTTTGACTGGATAGATATGGTGTACCTTGTTAGACTAACTCCTAAGTATTTATAATTATGTCTAACATATTGCTGTTGTCAGCCTTGGCTGGTACGTGTTGGTTACTACAGAGACTCAACTGATCAAAGTATTGAGATAATGACTGTTGAATGCTTAACTCCAAATGGGACATCTTTATTATTCCTTCTAAATCTCAGGGAATGGTCCCCCTTTTGATGCTGGGATAAAACACCATGACCAAAAGCAGCTTACAGAATGAAGAGTTTTAGACTTATGGCTCCAGAAGTATCAG